AAACACCACACTGTACCCCCAAAGTGCATCAATGTACACAGTTACCATTCAATAAAAAAAAAAAAAAAAGAATCTTCCTTCCTGGTCAGTAACTCAACCATACCTACTGCCCAAGTTTTAACATTTTAAGACTTCCATTTTTCCTCACCTCACACCACCTCAACTCCAGGTGGTTCCACGCGCATCTCAACACTTACAAAACCAATTTGTAACTCAATTTCCATTCCCTCTAAACTAACGCACTCTAGATTCCCTCTAATATAAGCAGTTTCCAGAGTCATCCTGCCAATCATTGGTTTTCACCTAACTCAATCCCCTAAATTTCACACTGGCCTCCTCACTCAAAGCATCCTGCTAATTAGCTGTTCCCAACAGGTCCTCCCTTCCCTGGGTCCCTTTTTGCGCATGGTTACCTCGCTCCTAACCCTGAGTTGCCGCCTTACTCACCTTACCCAACCCTTCAGGAGCACTTATTTCCTGTCTCTCAAAAACCTTCCTCCCCATTTCGCAGTCCGAAACCACTAGCCCCAAACCAATTCCCGACCACTCCCCCCTGCTTATGATTCCCTACGCCCATTCTCCTCCGGGTTCTTCAGACCCAGCCCCCGGTCCTCCGTCCCTCAGACCCCGCCCCCAGGACCCTTCTCCTTCAGGCCCCTCCTCCAATGCCCCCTCTCTCCTCAAGCCCCGCCCCAAGCCCCCCTCCCTCGGGCCACCCTCCCACTCAGGTCCGCAGGTCATTTCAGCAGCCCCAGCCCCTTTCCGACCTGGCCGCAGCTGTTCCGGGGGCGAATCCTCCGCCACCTCCGCTCCGGCTTGGTCCTGTCCCGTTCTCCCCCCGGCAAGCTCTCTTTCTCGCTGCCGCCGCCGCCCCTTTTGCCAACCCGGAAATGGATTGCTCCCACCGTCCCCAGCGTCCGCGAACAAAATGGAGGCGGGGGAAAAAGGAGGAGGGAGCGGAGAGGGAAAAACGCTAGACGCATGCGCCCCTCGAAAGCCCTCCCCTACCGGCGCACGTACGGACGGAAGCGGTCGGATCCGCAGCCATCTTGGGAAGGTCGCGAGAATTTACATTAACAGCTAAAGGCAGTATTTGCAATTTTGGCTGCAATTAGAATTTCGTGGGTAGATTTTACTAACTAGTGATGCCTGAATTCTACTGCCAGAACTTCTGATTTAATTGGTCTAGAGTACAACTTAAGCATCGGTATTTTAAAAAATTGCTCAGGTGATTCATTCTAGCGTGTTCCCAAGGTGGAGAAACACTGGGCTAAACTGAGTCATTCTTGAAAATACTTTTTTTATCTTTACCCCACCATGCGCACACACACTCCTCCCATAAATGTCTTTTCTTAATCTCCAGTTAAGGAAGCTCCGGTTGTCATAGCAACTTCGAGAGGCAGACCCCTACTAACAAGTCCTCATGTACGTCATCTCTAACCACCTGACCTGAACACCGATCTCTTCTTCCACGGGCGGGGGGGTTTCTCCAGCCTCCAGGGCTGGAGCATGGTGCTGCGTGCTTCTCCAGCTGCTTGGGCCAAGAAGAGAAATCCTGTACCCGCACTGCCGGAGCTACTGTTGACTCCGTGGCAGTCGACTAAGGATCTCTTTCCTAGTCCACCCACAAAAGCCCTTTTCCGTTGCAGCCAACTCCATTCCCGTGTATCCTCAAAATGCTTTTCGGGTGAATCCGAAGTTAGGGGACAGAGTTGGGACTTAATTCCTATTACTTACAAGCTGTCTGCTCTTGGGCCTCAGCCTATTCTATCAATAGAATAGGTTTAATAGTGCCTGTCTGATCTGTCTCATAAGGTCGTTGGAAGGCTCAAATCAGGCAGTGAATGGGAAAACTCGTGATAAGCCATAAGGTACTATTTTTGTTTTCCTTCTGTTCTGCCGTGAGTAGTACTGGGCACCACCTGCTTGTCAAGTAAATGTCACATTGACAACTTTCTGTGGGCCAGACACGGGCCTAGGCACCAGGAGATGACTACCGAGGTGACTAAGACAGAACCTCTACCCTCAGGGAACTCATTGTGTGGGTGGACAGACTGATATGTCAACAGCTAGCTGAGATGCTAGTCAGCATATGATTAGTACTATGGGGACATATATGCTGTGGGACATCAGACAAGGGAGTGATTAATTCCTGTGATGCCAGAAGGTTTTGTAAATGGTTTTGAACTGAGTCTTGAAGGATGAGTAGAATTTTATTGCTAATTGGAGAAGGCAAAGAACACATTCTGGGGCAAGGGATCAGTGGGTGCAAAGGTAAAGATTTTCAGGTATTTATTATGTCTTGCATCCTGCATGCCTGAAGGTGGAGTGATTGAGCCATAGAGATGGTATCTAAACTCTACCTAGGCCAGTCCTGGTGGCTCACACCTTTAATACTAGCATTTTGGGAGGCTGAGGCAGGATGATTGCTTCAGCCCAGGAGTTTGAGGTTGCTATGAGCTATGATGACACCTCGACACTCTACCCAGGGCTCGACAGAGTAAGCCACTTTTTTTTTAAGGCTTGGCACCCATAGCACAGTGGTTATGGCGCCAGCCACGTGCACCAAAGGTGGCAGGTTTGAACCCAGCCTGGGCCTGCTAAACAACAATGATAACTGCAACAAAAAAACAGCCAGGGGTTGTAGCTGCTGTTGTAGTTCCAACTACTTGGGAGGCTGAGGCAAGAGAATTGCTTAAGCTCAGGAGTTTGAGGTTGAGGCGGTGCCTGTGATTCAATGGGTAGGGCACCAACCCCATATACCGAGGATAGCAGGTTCAAACCCAGCCCCGGCCAAACTGCAACACAAAAAATAGCCAGGCATTCTGTCAGGCGCCTGTGGTCCCAGCTGCTCTGCAGGCTGAGGCAAGAGAATCGCCTAAGCCCAGGAGTTTGAGGTTGCTGTGAGCTGTGATGCCATGGCACTCTACTGAGGGCAACATAGTGAGACTGTGTCTCAAAAAAAAAGAAAAATTAGCTCTCGGCCTTAGCGCCATCTTTCTAGAAACCTCCGCGCCATGAGAGCAAAGTGGAGGAAGAAGCAAATGCGCAGGCTGAAGCGCAAAAGGAGAAAGATGAGGCAGAGGTCCAAATAAACCGGCTGGTTGTACACTCGTGAAGGCCACAAGAGAAGGAACATGGGATGCCAGAGGCTAAGGAGGCTAGTACAAGCTGCTGGACTGCATGCTACTGTCTGGAATTTGCTCTCAGTGGATATAAGACCTCATCGCCATCCGATCACCAAGACCACCCCTAAGAGACCCACCTTGCTCACACTGAAACAGTCCCTTGCCCTGGACCTGACATCCTGGACTCGTTCTGTTTATCACCTGTGGCTGAGTGTAACCAGTATACAATAAATCATACCTTCTGCTGTTTTGGCTGATGAAGCAAAAAAAAAAAAAAATTAAACAGCTAAAAATCTTGGATAAAATTATTTTTAAATCTTAAATGCTTTGATGAGTTACTGAAAAAGTAAGAAATTTTCAGGGCAAAACAAAGCAAGTAAAAGCAAGAGATGTAGGGACAGATAAATGGAACACTGAAGCAGGCTTTTGCTCTGAGGGCACTTGGCTAACTAGGGGAATTTGAGTTTTCATCACTGTCTTATGGGAAAAGGAAATACCCCAGCCTCTCCTTAACAGGGAGAATTTAACAGGAGACCCTTCCACCAAAAAGATGAGACCCAAAGGACTACATCTTCACTATACAAGTGAACCAGAAATAGACCTGTCCCCTCTCCTTTAGATATAGGGTTAAGGGAGATACATTCTAGGCTTAGATAATTATAAATAGATTTTTCACATGCATGTCTTAGCAGAACATTCAAGAGTCGGGTAGAATCCAAGATAATTCTTTTCTGGGTGGAACCATCCCTTGCATTGCAGCTTTCCAGCATGCTGGACCTCTGCACATCAAATGTCAGTAACACATTCGTGTGATTGTGACAAACAGGAAAACCAAAATTCCAAAATGCCCCCATGGAGAACCATTGCCCATACTCAACTGTCAACTTGACAGGGGCCAATTTGTGAAGAACTTTATTATCTTTGGGGAAAAGGGCTGAGCACAGTAGCTCACTCCTGTAAATCCTAGCATTCTGGGAGGCCAAAGCAGGAGGACCAGCTTGAGGCCAGGAATTTGAGACTAGCCTGAGCAATAGCAAGACCCTCATCTCTAAAAAATAGAAAAATTGACTTGGTGCCTGTGGCTCAAGTGGCTAAGACACCAGCCACATACACCTAAGGTGGCGGGTTCGAATCCAGCCCGGGCCCATCAAACAACAATGACGGCTGCAACTAAAAAATAGTCGGGCGTTGTGGTGGGCGCCTGTGGTCCCAGCTACTTGGGAGGCAGAGACAGGAGACTCGCTTGAACCCAGGAGTTGGAGGTTGCTGTGAGCTGTGATGCCACAGCACTCTACCCAAGGGGATAGCTTGAGGCTCTGTCTCAAAAAAAAAAAAAAAAAAAAAGAGGGAGGAGGAAAGAAAAAAAAGCCTGGGAGCCTATAGTCCTAGCTACTTGGAGGCTGAAGCAAGAAGATCACTTGCACCCAGGAATTTGAGATTGCAGGGAGCTATGATAATGCCACTACATTCTAGCCTGTGCAACACAGCAAGGAAAAGTTGGATTTTATCTTGAGGACAAATAGGGAAACCATTGAAAGGTTTAAGGAGAGAAGTACCATGACTCTCTTCATATCCTAGAAATATCCCTCTGACTGCAGCAAGAAGGATGGATTAAATGGGGCCAGGCTAGAAGCAGGGATGCCAATTAGAAGGCTACTATGTCCTTCTAATAAGTCCACATGAGAGGTGAAGTTACCTGCACTGAACACTGGTTTGGCACAAAGGCTTTGGAATCAGGGCTGCCTGTCTGCAGAGCTCAGAGCTTCTCAGTTCTCCGCATTACTGAATAGGGCAATTATAACTTGTCTATGTTATCTAATCTATACTGGCCTCCAGCCTCTTCATCTGCAAAATGGAGATAAACCTAAGCGGAATGTACCCTGAGTGTTTATGCACATAGAAGGCACTTACTAACTTTAGTCAGGATCATTATTCAAGTATCAACAATGGAGATGTTTAAGAAATGGAAAATGGGGACTGAAGAGAGGGAGGCGCCAAAGATGATTGCTAAGTTTTCCAGCTAAGACTTATCTGGAAAGAGTTGCAGAAGGAGAGAAGGAGCTGGGGTGGTGAAGGAAACTGAATAGACTGGTAGAACATCTGAGAAGAGAGGTTCAATAGGCCACTACATGTTTGGGTCTGGAACTTAGAAGAGCAATCCTAGGAATTTGGGACCCATAAACTGTGGTAGCTACTCTCCAAAGACGGCTTCCAGTGAACCAGAATTCCCAGTACTCATTGTACCTGGACTGGCCTGTGACTCCCTTGAACCAGTGGAATGCAGCAGAAGTGAGGTTGTGCCAGGTCCAGAACTAAGCCTGAAGACTTAGCAGCATCTTCTTGTGTGCTTGGGGGACCCATAAACTCACAGGTAAGAAATCAGCTACTCTGCAGCAGAGGCCACGTAGAGGGAGAGGCCTTGAAATCATGAGAGCATACTGTTCTGGAAACTGCAATGAGTGTTCAGGAAGGAAGCGTGGTTAGAAACATCAAAGCTGGTGAGAGGAAGATAAGTGTCCTTGGATTTGGTTACATGGCAGTCATTGGTGCCCTTGGCCAGGGCACTTTCAGTGAATGGAGAGAGCAGAAATCAATGATACTGGGTTAAAGAATGAAAGAAACAGAGAGCAGCAAAACCAACCAAGCCAGAGTCACACATACTGATCCCACAAGCATAACATTGGAGGGGAGGTTTGCTGAACACCACATCCAATATGATAGCATTTACATAAAAATTAAAGCATGTAAATATAAAATGCTATTAAAACTCAATAATACAAAGACAACCCAACTGAAAAATGGATAAGGAATTT